CACTGGCTGTGCAGGATATATACTTTTTAACATAAATATATTATTCCTGAGCCTTTCTTTCTTTAAAAATTGACTAATTTATTTAGTTTTAGAGAAAGGAAAGGAGAGGGAAACATCTATTTGTTATTCCACTTATTTATTTATTCATTGGTGGTTTCTTGTATGTGCCCTGACCAGGAATTGAACCCACAACCTTGGCACACCGATGACACTCTAACCAACTGAGTTACCCAGCTATGGCCTGAGTTTTTTCAAGACAATGAGAAGTATATTAGACAGTAAAGCTAACCAAAATGAAAAAAAAAAAACCTTCTATTTTGTTACAAATTTGGTGGGTTTTCTGCCCCTGCAAAGCCAGGCATCAACCCTGGCCAGGTGGCTCAGTTGGTTGGAGTGTGGTCCATGCTTCAAAAAGTTGTGAATTCAGTCTCCAGTCTTGGTTAATATGGGAGGCAACCAATCAGTGTTTCTCTCTCACATGGATGTTCCTCTTTCTCTCTCCCTCCCTTCCTCTAAGAAAAATCAGTAAAATCACATATCCTCAGGTGAGCATTCAAAACAAAACAAAACAAAAACACACACATAAATATTAGAGATTAAATATGGAAACAATGTGCTCTATGAAAATCAAAGTAACTGCCAGCAACTATCTGGAATACAGAACCAGTGAAGTTCAAGACTATATAAGTAAACAAAAGGAGATACATCATGGTTTCTTTTTTCCTTTTCTTTACTTTAAAATTTTTTTTAATTGATTTAAGAGAGTGGAAGAAAAGGGAAAGTTTAAAACATCAATGATGAAAAACTGCTGAGCCACACTGGCCAGCTTTTTAATTTATTGATTGGGGTGCTGCGGGGAGACAAGAGAGAAAAACATCAATTTGTTGTTCCACTTATTTATACATTCTTTGGTTTATTCTTGTATGTGCCCTGACCAGGGATCAAACCCTCAACCTTGGTATATCAGAATAACATGCTAACCAACTAAGTTTAATCTAAATAACACAAATAGGCCAGGCCTCCCCCCCACTTCCCATTTCAGTTTAGGTCTCAAAATTTTCTAAAGGCAAAGATTCACGCTAAATAATTCAGCATGTCTTTCTGGAACTCTGCAGCTATTATCTTCAGTCTCCTAAGAGCTTGTCTCATTTCACATTTTAATTGCTTGATAATATTATATGATAATCCAAAAAAGACATTCCTCTTATTCATGGGAGCAGTAGGATAAATTATGAAATCATAGTTTATTGGGCAAGGAAAATCATGTATCTTGAAGTTGGGTTTCTTTAAGACTAAATTTCCTATGATGGGTTAGGAAAATTAATTTATATTGGTTGAAGTAAGAAACATATTCTTCTCATTTCTCAACTGTTGGCTATAGATAGTGAATTTAGCCTAATCAGCTCTTTTCCTGTCCGGAGATACTATAAATCCAAGAAGAAGAAAAATCCAGTGTGACTAGAATCCTAACCAGCATAGTCTGGCAAATTCTAATTTAGAGTCCTTTGGCAGTTGAAACAGTGAAGAAATCCTTAGGAAGTCACTGCTCTCACGTGACAGGAAAAGGCCTGGAGCCTAAATAGTTGCAGTCTCACATTTCACACAATTAGTGGTAGTAGGAAGGAGTTCCTGACTGAAAGGAATGAGGCAAGAATTGGAGCCCTTGGAAATCTGAGAAGGCAGAGACAAGGCATGAAGAACAGAAAGAGCAAAATGTCACAGACTGAGTACCTTGAAAAAGGAAAAACTGAGACCACTCTTCCAGTGTCTGGTTTGCATCAGTAATTCCACAAATTCTGATATGTTCAGAGCCTCGTGGAATAAACCTTTGCTTTATTAGGGGTTATTTAGTTAGTACCAATAGTACTTTAGCTTTAGCTATATATTCTCAGAGTTTTACCTCCTTCACAGAAGAGCCGAAAGCATTTCTTTCTGAAACAGATGTTTAAAGAATTGCTTTCTTTTTTTTTCTTTTTTTTTTCTTTTAATTGATTTTAAAGAGAGAAAAACATTGATTTGCCCCACTTATTTATTCATTCTATGGTTGCTTTTTGTATGTGCCCTGAACTGCAACCGTGGCATTTTTGGAACAATGCTCTAACCAACTGAGCTACCTGGCCTGGGTCCACAGAATCGCTTTCTATTTGAAGGTTTTATTAAACACAAACTGAGATATGACTTGACAGAAATCAAGAGTCAATTGTGTGTCTGAATTTCTAAGGTTACTAAATATTGACAGATAATCTATTGGTACTAAGTTGGCACAGGGCTTAGAAATGAGAGGATTAAATCCAAGATTTAACTGAAGTCACGTGTTTACTCAATTGAAGATTACCCTCTCAGACACTCTGATGCTTCTCATCCACTAACCACTGACCACATGACCACAGAAAGTGACCACAACATTATTTGTAGAAAACTTTTCATGTAGTAGAATGACTCCCTTTCTTGAAGAGATGCTGATGTGATCTGCAGTCCTTGTATGTTCTGCTGTAGCTGATTCTGCATTGTGATGATCTCCTTGGTGATGGAGACAATGGGACAACTTTACACACTGTCTATTCATCAAATATAGGAATACAGAAAACAGACTTAGTAATTGCACAATACAGCTCATTTCTAGAGTCTCTGCTGCTCATCTCATCAGCCTCTGCTAGAGAAAAGTATCTGAAGATGACAACCCCCGAGAATGAAATGAGAGAAAATGCCATGATTCTAGAATCTCACTTACTAATTTTATTGCATAGAAATTCATTCCTGAGACAGTTCTTTCCCAGAGTGGAGGAACTGCCTTCATTCTATTTCTCCAACCTCTGTGTAACCCACACAATCACCTGGTTTAGGAAAGGTAGGTTTTATACAGAAAAAAGAAAAAAGTATCTTCAAATTTTGAAAGACCACCACATGGGGATGAAAAATCCAGCATAGGGAATACCATCAATAATCTTATATAATAAAAGGATAATATGCAAATTGTCCCCTCAGGAGTTCAACCGGGAGTTTGATCGCTCACTATAATGTGCGAGGGGTGGCACAAAACATGGTAGGCAACCAGCAGTGGTGGTGTGGTGCTGAGGGAGCATGGGAAAGGGAGACTGGGAGGCAGGGAACCGCGCAGTGGCAGTGTGCAAGCGGTGAGGGAAGGAGAAGGCAGGGAGGTGGGGAACCTGATCAGCCCTGATTGCCGGCCAGGCCTAGGGACCCCACCCATGCACGAATTGCATGCACTGGGCCTCTAGCATAACAACTATTGTATGTATGGTGTAAGGTGGGCACTAAAATTATTGGGGTGAGTCATTTCATAAGTTATATAAATGTCTAATCACTATGCTATACACTTGAAACTAAATTTTCAACTGTAATTGAAAATTTTTGTTTTTTATTTAAATGTTCATTTCACAAACATATTGCTATGTGTCTCTAATTATATTAGGCAGAAGTTCCCTCCTACCCTCTGAGGGGAAACAGATTTGTAACAGTAATAGCACCAGTCAGGGAAACCTTTGATCTCATTCTCTTTCCCAATCCTAATGTATATGTGGTAAGATAGACACCAGGCCCACTAAGGCTTTAATTTCAGAGTGCTAGTGTCCTTAAAGAGGTTATAAGGCAGAGTCTTTGTTCTGCATAAACAATAACTGACATTTTGTTTTATTTCTTTTAAATGAAAAAAATAGCTAAGTAAAATCATGTTTAGTTAGAATTCAAGGTGCCAGACTTTTTTTCATTCTATATATTTTTTTATTTTCTTAATTGATTAAGGTATTACACATGTGTCCTTTCCCCATTCCCCCACACATCTCAGACCCCTACTCATGCTCAGCCCCTGGTGTCTGTGTCCATTGGTTATGCTTTTATGCATGTATACAAGTCCTTTGGTTGATCTCTCCTCCTAACCCCTACCCTTCCCTACCTTCCCTCTGAGGTTTGACGGTCTGATCAATGCTTCTCTGCCTCTGGATCTGTTTGTGTGTATCAGTTTATGTTGTTATTATATTCCACAAATGAGTGAGATCATGTGATATTTATCTTTCTCTGACTGACTTATTTCGCTTAGCATATGCAAATGGTAGGAGTTCCTTCCTTTTTATAGCAGCATAGTATTCCATTGTGTAGATGTACCATACGTACTTTTTTAATCCACTCATCTGCTGATAAAGATGCCAGACTTTTTTTTTTTTAATATATTTTATTGATTTTTTTACAGAGAGGAAAGGAGAGAGATAGAGAGCTAGAAACATCAATGAGAGAGAAACATCGACCAGCTGCCTCTTGCACACCCCCTACTGGGGATGTGCCCGCAACCAATGTACATGCCCTTGACCGGATTCGAACCTGGGACCTTTCAGTCCACAGACCGACGCTCCACCACTGAGCCAAACCAGTTTCGGCAAAGGTGCCAGACTTTTAAATGTTTGGTTCCTTCAAACTTAGTATAGCCCCTTATCTTATGTAAATATTAACAACTGGAATTGAAATGACAGAAATATGATGACTATATTCTCTCTTAAATCAATAAAAATGTTTAATATGTTTTATTGATTTCAGAGAGAAGAAGAAAGAGGGATAGAAACATTAATGGTGAGAGAGAAATATTGATCGGTTGCCTCCTGTATGCTCCACACTAGGGATCAACCCTGCAACCCAGGCATGTTCCCTGACCACAAATTGAACCGTGACCCCCTGGTTCATGGGTCACGCTCAACCACTAAGTCACACCAGTTGGGTTCAAATCAATAATTTTTTTTTTTTAATTTTGTTAAGGTATTGAAAGAAAAGTGCATCTGGAGAAAAGAGTACTACCTTAAGTTTACATGTTTGTATTTCTCAAGATTTTAATTTATGCATAATATTTGTAGATTTCTGAACCTTTTCTGAAAACATTGATTGCTTTACATAAAGATTTATTTATCTGATTTTTTGTTGTAAAGTTATAATTTAAATAATTGACTTATATATTAAAGTAGTATATCTATTATAACACTGAATTCTCTTAACAGAGTTGGAAGATGTTACAAAAACACCTGATTGTTCCAGTGCATCAGTGAGAGAGGAAAGGGGCGATCTTATCAAATTTTACAATACAGTATATGTAGGAAGAGTGAAGTCATTTGCATTGAAATATGACTTGTCAAATCAGGACCATATGGTATGTTTTATATTTTATTGTTTTATTAATAACATAGTCATAGTTAGATTTTTATGAGTTTATTTTGCTAGTTAAGTGTTTCAGTGTTAAAGTCTCACTGATGTATTATATATAGGACAAAATATACTAGCAATCACAAAGTGATTAAAGCTATAATACAGCAGAGACCAGAAGAAATCATGGAAATTTAATCCATATTATCATTATGCTGCTAGAAATTATGTATACATAAGGGCAAGGACTAGATGGGAACAGAAAAAAATTTTTTTAATATGTTTTTATTAATTTCAGAGAAGAAGGGAGAGGGAGAGAGAAAGAGAGAGAAACATCAGTGATGAGAATCGTTGATCGCCTGCCTCCTGCACACCTCCTACTAGGGATCGAACACCAACCCAGGCATGTGCCCTGATCAGAATGAGCCCAGGACTCTGCAGTCCCCAGGCCGACACTCTTATCAATGAGCCAAACTGGCTAGGGCAGAATAAAATAAAATTTTTAATCTGATCATTGTTCTCTTGTTTTTTATTTCTATTGTTATATTTATGAAATAAATGTGTTTTGCAAAATAAAGAGAAAAGGATATAGATAGGCCTAAATTGTAAATAGAGGCAGTGCTAAAAAAAATTTTATGCAAATCCTAGCTTTAGCAGTCAAACCAGTTTGTGAAAGTAGTATTATCAGTATAAAAACCAAGTTGATTCCCAATAGATCAGACTTTAGTTTTAAGAAAGGAGGACATGGTAGAAGCTGTACCCAGCCAGTAGCCACGTATATTTATCTGTGTATCTCTTTCCATTTCTGTTCTTGTTCTTTCCAAGGAATATGCTCTCTGACTATCTGTCCTCAGAAGCCATGACTACTCATCCTACTTCATCAGTTCTAGCCCCCCTCATATGCTATGCTTTTGAATATCTCTATCGTCAGTCAATTGCAACTAATTTTATTAGTTTGAAGATGAGAATGAATAATAATTAAGGAGCCATCTTATTCTTTTTTTTTTTTTTTTGAGCCATCTTATTCTTGAGAAGGAATCATTGTAACAAATATTAAAGAAAAGTACAGACTCTGCTCACCAAACTATTATTTTTTCTAACTCTATTTCTAAATCGTTTGTGTTTTATTATAAAGTTTTAACATTTCATTAATAGATTTGTTCTATGTTGAACTGAGCCTGCTGGCTAATAGAATTCTCTGCCTCTCTTTTGTGCTCTCTGCTATTGCTTTGGCTGTGGGTATGTGTGTGTTGAGAGAGATTTTTTATTATAAGTATTAGGACATTGATTATTTTTTTGCCCCTACTTTCTGAGGATGGATGTGGGGTATCTTACCCAGAATTCTTCAGAGTTTCCTGAAAGATCCAGGAAAATACATTTTAGTTTCTCTCTTAGTAATTGTTGAAAAATAAGAGGTAATAGACCGTTCATTTCTTTGCTTTTTTTCAGCCATAAATAAGTTCTTACAATATAGCTGGCTCCCACCTAGGAGATGCCAATAGGATAAAAATATGGTGGAATTCCAAAAAGAAAAAAAAACTTTTATCTTAAAACAACTTACTTTTGGGTTATTTCAGATGGAAGCTCCACCACTCTCTCCTTTTCCACATATTAAGCAACAGCCTGGCTCACCACGCCGAATTTCCCAGCAGCACTCTGTTTATGTTTCCCCACACAAGAATGGGTCAGGCCTTACGCCAAGGACTGCTCTGCTGTATAAGTTCAATGGCAGCCCTTCTAAGGTAAGGTACACACAAACTTTACTCCAAAACAACTTATGTACATTTGTTAAAAATTGAATTTCACATTACCAGTTAGTAATTTTTAATCTGCTCTCTCTGTTTTGAATAGTTATTAGTAGTAAATATGAACTGTTACTATGGCAGATTTCCTGTAATCAAGAGCATTGTATTCAGTTGAGATAGTTTAATCCATTGCTATTGACATGTTATTGGAGGAGTTCAGTGCAAGAATCTAGTGTGTCTTCTTGCTCAAGCTTAATCTTGAGAAGTAATGCAACACCTGTTAGTGGTCAGATATAGGAAACATTAAGTTTAAAAAAAGGCCTTGAAAGTGAAAGCTCATTTGGTGGATGACAACAAGGATAGTAAAGAATCTAAAAAGAGGCCTCTTATTTACACCGACAGTTCTGTTATCTATCTCTATCCTGTACCATGATGAAGATGAGACTGGGACATGATTGCTGTTTTTTTATATCCGAAGAGCTAAAAAGGAGATATGTTCAGTATGTCTCCAGAAGCCACAATCATTGCCAACTGGAAAAAAATTGTACTGGGGCCTATTGTAACTCAATCCAAATACAAGGGCAGCTCCTTAACTCATGGCTTTCTCATTCAGTTCCACAAACGTCTGTTGAGTGTTTACTGTACTTAGCAAACAAAACACTGAGATAGAGCACCTTACAGATTTGCATTTCCTCTTCATAGAAGTCAATTTCCTATAAGGATGTTTAGAAGATGCATGAAATCAAAGATGGCACCAATTGATTTCTAAGGCAATGATTTTAAAACATGGGTCAGGATCATCTTGAAGACAAGATGCCTGTCCCGTAGACCTACTGAGTCACAAAACTCTGGCAGTTAGCTCTACACATTGTGAGCGCAGTTTTTAGGAAACACTTCTGTAAGGTCTTGCTATTGAGATTGTGGATTACAGATCAGCAACATCAGCATCACTTTGGGAGCATTTTAGAAATGCAGATTCGGGCCTCCTACTAGCCCTCCTAAATCTAAGTCTGTATTTTTAACAAGATCCCCAGATGTTTAGTAGGTACATTAAAATTTCAAAAGCATTGTTCTAAGGAGGCCTCGAACTATAAGGAGCATCAGAATCAACCTGAGGGGCGAACCAGATTGCAAGGTCCCACCCTCAACATTTGAGTCAGTAGGTGTAGGATGAGGCCTGAGAGTTTGCATTTCTAATATATTGCTAGATGCTTCTGCTGCATCTGTTATATGTTCACACTGGGAACTACTACTATAAGGTAAATTCTTTTTTTTTTTTAATTCCTGAAAAGATTAGTTCTAATTACCCTTATTCAGTTAGCCTTGATTTTAAAAAAATAATCTGTACCCAGCAGGCTAGAGGGCAAGAAAAAACAGTTAGTTTAGTACTTGGTGCTATTTCTCTTTTTTCCCCTTTGCTCATGCATGTCCTCTATTTTTGCACAGAGTTTGAAAGATATCAACAACATGATAAGGGAAGGTGAACAGAGAACCAAGAAGCGAGCAATAGCCATTGATGGTGATGCAGAATCACCTGCCAAACGCCTCTGTCAAGAAAATGATGATGTTTTACTTAAAAGACTACAAGATGTTGTCAGTGAAAGAGCAAACCATTAGTGCCTTTCCTGTTTTTGTGATAAAAGCACTTTCAGGTTGTTTTGCATAAAGTTGGGATTCTATCCTTCACAACGTTCAACCTTGTATATGGTAAATATCACTGAATTATAAGAAAAACTGCACGAAAATTATACTGTTTTTTTGTTGTTTGTTTGTTTGTTTGTTTTTTAACGTTCATGCAAAATGTAGTTGACGGAGATGTATTTTGAGTTGGATTGGAAATGAATGTTTTTGCCCTAGCTGATTTGGCTCAGTGAATAGAGCATTGCCTGTGGACTGAAGGGTCATGGGTTTGATCCCAGTCAAGGACACATGCCTCATTTGAAACATTGATCCCCAATTGATGTCATATCCATATTTTTCTCTCTGACTCTCCCCCCTCCCACTCTCTCTAAAAATCGATGGAAAAATATCCTTGGGTGAGGATCAACAAAAAAAGGAAAGAAAATAATGTTTTAAGTGCCTTTACATATATTAATAGTCCCAGAATTTTTTAAATGTTTGTTCTTTGGGTTTGTTTTTAAGATGAAGTAAGGAGAAATCTAATTTTTTAGCTTTTTAAAAAAAAAATTAAATGCCTCCTCCTGTGCTTTGTAATATGAGGGTCGGTAATCTATTTTTGGTAAAAGTGCTTTGAATATTTGTGTTCTCAATTTCATATTGAGTAGGGGTTGGTTCCCATTGCAGTTGGGCCAGAGGATGTTGCGCCAGCCTGTTTCTGACGCGCTGTGGTGACTCCACACCCAAATGCCACTACTGTTCTCGGATCTCTAGATCCCTTCCTCTCCTTGAGCATAAACAGATTTAACCTGAGCCCATGCATTACCACACTTCTTGCTTCACAGCCCTAAGCCCTCTTAGCCTAGTGTCACAACCTAATGAAAAGGGTCTTGCTCCTTTTTTTAAACTACTGTTATTTTGCTTCTAAACCAATCTTAACTATGTATGATTATATCATGTAATTCTAAAGCCAGTAAAATAAAATTCAGATGAGTTTTTAGAAACAAAATTTCCTATTTAGTGAGTTAGCACTCTGATAACGTGTGAAATACTATTTTTGAAGTCATCATAAGATGAGTCATTCTCAATATGTATTGTAATTGATTCCCTAATAGTTAAATCTTTTTTTTTTTTATTAAGATTTTTTTAAATTTTATTTTAGAGAGGAAGTGGGGAAGGAAGAGAGACAGAGAGCGAGAGAGAAACAATGATGCGAGTGAAACATTCATGGACTGCCTTCTGCATGTCTCCTACCTGGGATTAAGCCCTCAACCCAGGCATGTGCCCTAATTGGAAATCAAAGCTACCAACCGAGTCACATCAGCCTGGGCTAGTTGAACCTTTTCCTAAACCACATTAATATCCTTTTATACCTTATACTAGGTGTACCAGTTAATAATGCAGATTTTTTTCCAATAGATGGGGTTACACATATGTTGATATATATGCGATTTGATATGTATGCTGTTTTGTTGTATTGACAGCAAGCTTCAAAACTTCATATGTCAAATTTGCTGAAGGTGTTAACATCATAGATATTTTTATGCTTAAAAATGTTGAATTTCATGCCAAGAAACAAACATTTGCGGGAAGTCTTAATACATTATTATGAAGAAAAAGTCATCGTATACTTTGAGAACCTTATGGTGAACATGCTCCATCTCAATATACTTGTGAACACTGGTTTAAACGCTTTAAAAGTGATGATTTCGATGTGAAAGACAAAGAACGTCTAGGTCAACCGAAAAAGTTTGAAGACCAACAATTACAAGCATTATTGAATGAAGATGTGTATCAAACTCAAAAACAATTTGCAGAAAGATTAAACATTGCTCATTAAACAATTTCCGATTGTTTACAAGCAATGGGAAAGATTTTAAAGGAAAGAAAATGGATGCCACATCAACTGAATGAAAGACAAATGGAAAACTGAAAAGTCATCAGTAAAATGTTGCTTCAACGGCATGAAAGAAAGTTTTTTGCATCGAATTGTGACTAGAGATGAAAATTGATTTATTTTGAGAATCCCAAATGCACAAAATTATGGGTTGATCCAAGTCAACCATCATCAACTGCAAGGCCAAATCGCTTCAGAAAGAAGACAATGCGCTGTGTTTGGTGGGATCAGGAAGGTATGGCGTTTTATGAGCTTCTAAAGCCAGATGAAACTATTAGTACTGATTGCTACCAACAACAAATAATCAATTTGAACCACGCTTTGATCATGAAACAACCAGAATGAACCAGAAGACATGGCAAAGTAATTTTGCTTCATGATGACTCACCATCACACACTTCAAAACCAGTTAAAGACACATTAAAAGATCTTGCCTGAGAAGTATTAACCATTCGCTATATTCACCAGTCCTTGCTCCTTCAGATTACCACTTGTTCTGATGGATGACACATGCACTTTTTGAGCAGCACTTTAAAAGGTACAAAGAGGTGGAAAATTTGGTCTCTGAATGGTTTGCCTCAAGATAAGAAAAGTTCAATTGGGACAGTATCCACAAATTACATGAAAGATGGGGGAAATGTGTAGCTAGCGATGAACATTACTTTGAATAAAGCACTTTTGATGTTTTTCTTGAAATTATGTTTTCTTTTATTACAATATCCACCATTATTAACTGGTACACCTAGTAAGTTACATCAGTAAAACAACTGGGTTATTACTTTCTCCTCTTTGTTTTCAGTATTATTTTTTTATTATGAGTTTCCAATTAGGGTCTGATCACTGGGGCCCCACAAGGATGTTTTCCAGCATTAGGTAGGGGTAGTGCAGCTTTCCAAAGAATCAACTGTTCAAAATTCACTTTTTCTAGTGTGTTTTCAAAATCTGGAAGAATATGGTTAAGCCATTCTTAATTATTTTTTAAGAAAATGTTATCAATTGTATTTTTTTGGACTGAACATCTTATTTTTAAAAATGTAAAGTGTGCCCTAGCCGGTTTGGCTCAGTGGATAGAGCGTTGGCCTGCAGACTGAAGGGTCCTAGGTTTGATTTTGGTCAAGAGCCCATGTCCAGGTTGCAGGTTCGATTCCTAGTAGATAATCTGCAGGAGGCAGCCAATCAATGATTCTCATCATTTATGTTTCTCCCTCTCCCTTCTTCCTGAGATCATTAAAAATATATTTTTTTAAAATGTAAAGTGTTTAATTTAACCTATGTCTAACCCTGGCTAATTTGAATTAGTCTAATATTTGCCTATAAATTAGTAATCATTGTCAGGAATTTTATTTTTAAATTATAAAAAGAAAAAAGTGGTTTTTAATCACATTTTACTTAAAATTACACCATCCTTTTTTTGTGTGTAGTATCTACACGTTATAAGCCAAATAACATCAAGTGTGTGTTGAATCCTTGTATATATTTTAATGTAGCTATACCTATTGTGTATTTTCGTCTTCATTATTAATGTGCAGAATATAAGTGAGTATTTGTACATTGACTATATAAAAAACTCTGGACATGTTTATCCATCAGTTTTGAAGACTTGATATCCATATCCATAAAATTGTTAATAAAACATTGGAGTTTTTGAAATTATTGAGAAACTATACTGTGCTCTTTCTGTGTGTCTATCTAGAAGCAATTGTGGAGCCATTTTAAAATCTATATCTCTTTAAATATCTGCTTTATATCTTTTGAATATTTCAATGTAACCTAAAAACTAATGTTCTTGGTGGTCTCCAAGAGCTATGAATGGGAGTGAGTGACTGCTTGAGAGGTGCAGAGTTTTCTTTTGGGTAATGAATATTTTGGAGCTAATATAGCTGTTGGTTGGGTAACATTGTGAATTTACTAAATGACACTGAATTTTACTTTAAAAGGGTTAATTTTATGTTAGGTGAATTTCACCTTATTTTAAAAGGCCTTAGTGAGAACATGTGCACTAAGTTAATTGATAGTGGATTAAGGAAAAGGCTTATTTCTCTCTTAGGATTGCTTTTGGGGTATATTTCTCCAAATGAGATTCACAGCTTAGAAATTCTTTTCTAATTAAGATTTTAATGGGGGGAGGGGAGTAAGGGGAGGTGGAGTAGGGTATGAGGGTGATAAATCGTAATGGGGGAAAAGTAAAGGAAAAAATATTTTGATGTGTTTTTTTTAAAAAAGAAGGAAGGTAATATTCCTGCTTCTTTTGATTTTGTTTCTTTAAGTCAACAAACATTAATTGTTGCATACTCTATTCCATACATAGAGTTCCTGTCCTCAAGATATAATACTTGTAGCCCATTCATAAATGTGATAAGTATAGTAATAAAGCTCTTTGAAGAGGGATGGCGTTAGCACAGAGAAGGGAATGGTTCACTCAGCCTGGGTAAGTGTGTCAGGTCCCTAAAGGGAAAGCTAAGTGGTAATTTAGTTCTTAGGGATGCATAACTGTTTTCCAAGGCAGTGGAAGTATTCAGAGAGCACAACCCGTACAAAGACCCAGAAGCATGACAGTGCTCCAGGTTTTGGGAGCTGCAGGTTAGTGAGGCCGGAGTGTAGTGTGCATATGCAAAGATGTGCAAAGTAGGGGTGGCAAGATCGGTAAGGCTTTTCCTAGTCAGGCTTTCTAAGCCAGGGTAAGGAGCTCAGTCATTTCCACTGTTTAATCAGTGTCACTGTTTCTCAACATTGGCAGCAACTTGGGGGCTTTGAAAAACACACCAATAGATGGGTCCCTACCCCAGAGATTTCTGATTTAACTTATTTGGGAACTGCCTAGCATCAGGATTTTTAAGTGCACCCTAGGTGAACACCTAAGGCTTAAACCACTGCGATAGGCCACCGGGAGACACTAAAGAGGTGTTAGCTTTAAGTGGATAATGACAAAATCTGATATTTATTTCAGAGCGGCAGTTTTCTAACTTGTCCGAGGATAAGGATTACCCTAGACACCTATTAACAATACAGATTCTTAGGCCTCATCATTGACCAATCCTGTATAATAAAGAGGTAATATGCAAATTGACCATCATGCTCTTGAACAAGATGTCTGCCCCCATGTGGTCACAAGATGGCCAGTAAGGAGGGCAGTTATGGGTGATCGGGCCATCAGGGGAGGACAATTAGGGGCGACTAGGCCAGAAGGGGAGGGCAGTTAGGGACAACTGGGCCTGCAGGGGAGGGAGGGCAGTTGGGGGGAAGTACACTTTAAATAGCAAGGTTTAGAAATGTGGAAGCTGTGCAAAGAATGAATTAGAGCAGTGTTTCCCAAAGTGTGGTACGCGTACCCCCAGGGGCACGGGGAGAGTTTGGTGGGGGTACGCGTTGCACCGGAGTTTGATGGGGATATGCACTGCACCGTGCTTGGCTGCGCCTAATTCTACGTTCTCATGAGTATGAGGGGTACTCAGCATTACGAAAATGATAGAAGGGGTACACATATGTCAAAAGTTTGGGAAACAATGAATTAGAGGATAGACTTATATGAAAGACTAATTAGGTTAGTGAATTTTAACTTGGGGTAATTTTGCCTCCTTATAGGACATTTGGCAATGAGGAGAGACATTTTTGCAATTTTGAATGTCATACCTGGATGGGGCAGGGAGAGGAGTGGTGCCACTGGTGTCCAGGTTGTAGAAGCCAGGAATGGTGCTAAACATGGTACAATGCACAGTAAAGCCCTCAACAGAATTAGCCAGCCAAAGGTGTCAATTCTGCCAATCCCTGAATTAAGGAAACACCTAGGCAAGAAGAGCCGTGCACTTTAAGACAGATACTGATAGTGGGGACAGAGGAACTATAGAGAGTCACCTAACTTGGCCTGTATCGGGGAGGAGGAGGGGTGGAAGGAAAGGGCATCGCAGTCAGAGATGGCTTAATAAGGAAGACTTTCCAGACAGGATTAATGGTAATAGATTCCAGATGGGGTAACTGATACACAGGTGAGATTATTTGGTATTGATAACAGACCCTTAATATGTTAAGAGAATAAAATACTAAGGTTTCAGCCAAAACCGGTTTGGCTCAGTGGTAGAGCGTCGGTCTGCAGACTGAAAGGTCCCGGGTTCGATTCCGGTCAAGGGTATGTACATTGGTTGCGGGCACATCCCCAGTAGGGGGTGTGCAAGAGGCAGCTGGTCGATGTTTCTCTCTCATCGACATTTCTAGCTCTCTAGCTCTCTCCCTTTCTCTCTGTAAAAAATCAATAAAATATATGTTTAAAAAAAATACTAAGGTTTCAGGTACTATATCTAAGTGGTGGTTCCATCAAATTTCCCAAATTTTCCTAATCTTTGAGGACTTATTAACCAAAGAGAGTCAATAGTATGGCATATAAACAGGCATATAAACAGTTTTGTTAAGCATCCTAGGCTATTCTTTTTTTAAATTATTTTGTAATTGATTTTTATCGAGGGAAGGGAGAGAGAGAGAAAGAAACTTGGATTGGCTGCCCTCTTCACACACCTGGACCAGGGGTCAATTCCTTAACCTGGGTATGTACCCAAACTGGTAATCAAACCCACCATTTTTTTAAAATATATTTTATTGATTTCTTGCAGAGAGGAAGAGAGAGGGACAGAGAGTTAGAAACATCAATGAGAGAGAATCATCAATCAGCTGCCTCCTGCACACCCCCTACTGGGGATGTGCCCGCAACCAAG